GATACAAATCATGTGGAGACATGTAAGATACAAATCATGTGGAGACACGTAAGATACAAATGTGGAGACACGTAAGATACAAATCATGTGGAGACATGTAAGATACAGATCATGTGGAGACACGTAAGATACAGATCATGTGGAGACACGTAAGATATAGATCATGTGGAGACATGTAAGATGACAAGCTGAGAAACTGCTGCCACCCCAGGAGATCAGACTCGTTTGTACTTACACGCTCTGTAGGCTCCTACAGTAGCCTAGTTATAGAAAGGCTACTTATTTTAATGTATGGCATTTTGCATGCAACTTTGGCTTTAGAATGCTTGTCAGAATAGTGAATTGGCTGACTCCGAGGAGTCCTTGCCTTAGATGATGAGAGAAGTCAGTTAGGAACGTGTATCTCTGGGTCCCAGGTTGAGGTGAGAAGTAGAAATGTTTCGCTCTTGGATAGAAAGATGGTGGGAAGTTGGGGTGGTATATTTCATGTTCTTCTGGGGAGCAGATTTCACTTTGAAAGGAGGGGATACAGAAGGGAGATGTCCTCATCAGGGATTGTGTGATGATAGTGATATTCTGATGTCTTCTCCACAGAGGAATTTGGAAAGTACTGTGATGACATTGTGAACACAGCGGCTTGGGGAGGTCAGCTTGAGGTAAGCACGTGTGGTCACAGAGCTAAATTGTTTGTGAACCCCACTGGTAGGTTTCACAGGCTTTCAGCTAAACCCAGTTCTCTTTGAAGATGCCTTTTCCATTTTACATTTGCTGTTTCTCTACTGACATTCTTGTGTGTGAGATTAGACCATGTAGTTTTGAGTAAGTGAAGCTCTATTTCATCTTACATAGCCCAGTGTTTGATGTATGACTTACAGAGGCTGATGTCACATTGAGTGTTTTTATTCAAATGTTTCTACGGCCAACATGTTGATTTTCCTGTATCTTAAAAAAAAAATGAAAACAATAAAATGAAGACTTACTTGATGTGGTGGTACACATCTGTAATACAAGCACTCAAGAGGCAACCTTGGATGCTAGCCTGGGTTACATAGGCAGACAGACCCTGTTTTACAAAAAATAAAAATTGTATATTTTATTCCGTGAAAGTGAGTTTTAATCTAGTAGATCATGTTGGAAAAATAGCTTCCTTACATCAGAAATAGAAATGAACCAGGGGGGTTAGGCTTATTAAGTGCCTGGAATCCATCACTAGGTGTAGTGAGGAGCTTTGGGCAGGCCTGCTTTTCGTCCTGCCCGGCTCCCGCACGGCTAGCTTAGCCCCGGAAATAACAACACACAAATTGTATTCATTTAAACACTGCTAGGCCCATTATCTGTAGAGAGTTAGTTACTGGCTAACTCTCACATCTTGATTAACCCATATCTAATAATCTGTGTAGCACCACGAGGTGGTGGCTTACCGGAAAAGATTCAGCATGTCAGACCTGGTGGCTGGCTCCATGGCATCTGCCTCATTGCCCTCTTCCCAGCATTCTGTTCTGTTTACTCGGCCTACCTAATTTTCTGTCCTATCAAAGGGCCAAGGCAGTCTCTTTATTAACCAATGAAAATAACACATAGACAGAAGGCCCACCTACATCCACTAGGGAGGCTGAGGCCAGAAGATGAAGAGTTAAGACCAGCCTGGGATATGCAAAGTAAAAATTTTTTTATTATGCATAAAGCTTAGTATAACACATTTGTTAACATTATCTGTTGAATTCCTGCTTGTTAGTATATTACTTGAAGGCAGTAAATTGATGCCTTAACATTGTTGTATAAGGAAACAAATATTCAGACACACATAGAAGCTTAACATGACTTCCTTGAGATCTGATGTTTGAAGTTACTATTAACCTTGCTTTACAACAAAGCATGCAGTTAGGCCTGGTAGTGACACCAGTCCGAGGTGGAGAGAAAGGGTGAGGAGGCCAGTCCTAGGCTCTTGGCCACACTTTTCCTTTGTGCCTTGGGTGGGCCACCCAGCTTCTTGACCTCTGGTTTTAAATGACTCAATAAGAGCCCTCGTACTTAGTCGAATGCTGTGACATTAAGGTAGGGAGTACATGATTCACAAGGGTTTGTGAACTAAGATGCCGGATGAGTGCCGCCAGCAGTGTTAGTGTTGTGTGAAGGTGACTGGTTGTCACCCGTCTCCTGTTTGAGGGCGAGATACAGATACGGTGCTGTAGTTGGACCTCTCCACCAGAGGGAACTGTCCCCATTTACTTTTTCTTCTGATGCAGGCATTCTGCAAATGTTCCACTAACTTTGTGATGACAGAAATACAGAGACTTGAACTACTTTAAAAGGTTCACAAAGTAATATGATGATGGTATTGGAGACTTGTTAAATTGAGATAATTCAATTGACGTTTTTAAAAACGTCTTTGGAAGGCTGTTTGCTCTTTCATTGCTTGTGAATTCCTTTGAAGTACAAGTTGTTCTCACAGTGGGATAAATATATATTATTGACCAAAGCCCAAAGAAAATATTGTAGTGCATGTGCACATGAATGCCACCTCACCACTTTTTGCAGTCAGAGGAAAATTTTGAGGAGTTGATGCTCTCTTTCCACCGTGTGCACCAAACTCAGGCTGTCGGGTTAGCGCCTTCTTGCTGTCCCTATTGCATGGCTTTTAGAAGACATTGCTTTGCACACTATTCTGTGCTAGTTTAAAAAAATTAAAAATAATGTCTTTCAAAAGAATATTTTGCAAAAGAATATGGGATTTTGTTTTATTTTTTATGTAACAGAATCCTTTTCATGTTCCTGAAGTGATTTTTAACATTCATTCAAAACCTCCTGAAGGGTCTGTGTTCTTGGTGTAGCTTTTGAATTGGGCAGATGCATATATTAAGAATCCACGTTGGATGACTGGCTGTGATGGAGTCAGTTCTGTTTGACCCAGAGAAATCTTTCAGAACCTTGCACTTCGGATTCCAGGTGCTAAGTAACAGTAACGGCCGTGGGTATGACACCTGTAACTAATTCTCGGGCAGTGGAAGCCAGCCTGATTACATAGCAAGTTATCAACCAGCTGGGCTACGTGGTGAGACCTGTCAAAGCAACATCAACAGACAACATCCCCCTCCCTCCCGGCAACAAAACCAAAACCAACTCACCAGTATCTGCTTCCTGAAGTTATTCTGAAGACTAGATTAATTAATCCACATAAAGTATATGCATGATTGTAGTGCTTAGTTGTAATGCGTCAATGGCCATTAGCATGTTTTATTAGTGGCTATTATTCTTTAGACTTTAAACTCTAAGGTTATGTTGTGTGTTATAAATTAAGACAATACACATGCTGACCAGAGGAGATTCCACCACAGGCCAGAGCCATTCTCATGCATACCTTGTTCCTGCTGAGGTTCCAGAGCAGGAACCTCAAGCGGTTCTTGATGCTGACTGCATCAGCCTCATCCGAGAAGCTTTTAAAAGTGAACCTTGTGTTTTTCCAGATCCTATTCCCTGTCCTGTGACTGGTAATGGTTTGGTCTGATACTTAGCCACTAGTACTTAAAAATTGTGTCATGATGCAAATGGAATGTTTTCAAACCCAGGGATGGTGTAATAATCAGTCTACCCTTCACCCGCTTCACCACGTTTGACATTGGTATTTTTACCGAACTATTGTATATCCCAGGCTTGAGAAACTTCTGCCTTTGATATAATCTTTTCCTTCCTTATGTATGTATGTATTTACTTTTAGTTTTTCATCAGTTCAGCAAATACTAAGTGCCCGTTCACTCGACGTCCTGGTACTGTTCTGGACAGAGCAGCTCTTCCTTGCTCTGTCTGGTTGCTGTGTTCTGTGTGAACTTCCATAGTTGTGATTTGAATAAGATTTGCAGTTGTGTTTCCCTTACTAATCCCTTGTTTCCCCTGTAGTTGAGAGCTCTGTCTCACATTCTACAAACACCAATCGAGGTTCTACAAGCAGATGCTCCGCCTATTGTGGTTGGTGAAGAGTATTCGAGGAATCCTTTAGTACTAGTGTAAGTACTAGAAAGGTTTACTGCTGTGTTTTTCATAATTAAGACAAAAAGGGATGTGAAAAGATTTTAGGTTGTCTATACTGACTAATCACAATGCTATAATTAACTAAATTAAGTCTGCTTATGTTAAAGGCAGTCAGAACTAGAAAACATCAGAATGTATAATTTGTATAATCGCTTATACTGTTTATTTTTTTTGTATGTACTAAGAATAAAGTCCTTTCAAAAGGCTATAAAATTTCAGGACTAGTTTTGTGTGTTTGCCCAGATTGATGCCAACTAAGTTTTAATAGCACAAAGTGTGGGATCATGTTGTGAGTGTATTTGCATGATCGAGAATTGGCTCCTCTCATTCAATATGGAGGGTTTATTTCTCCAGTTGTGTGGTGTGTGTGTGTGTGTGTGTGTGTGTGTGTGTGCGCGTGTGTGTATTAGCTGTTCTTAGCAGTAATGGACTTCAGTGAAACTTTAAGCTCATCGAGCTGCCAGCATCTCGGCCTTTGCTTTTTCAGTAATTGGTGACTACTTGCTAACTGGCAGCACTTGGGACATGATATTGATCTCAGTGAATATGCTCATATATCAACTAATGATACCTTTGGATTGGGACATTCAGGGTGCTTAGTTATGGATGTCTGTATGCTGTATACATTTGCACATAGTAAATACCTCCTGAAAATGACTCTATTTTTTTTTTCCCTTTCAGATACATGAGACATGCATACGGCTTAGGAGAGCATTATAATTCTGTCACTCGGTTGGTGAACTCGGCTACTGGAAATTGCAACTAGTTTACAAAATGTAACACTATGTTTTATAGAGTGTGCCAATCTGCATATTCCTATCAAGTGCTAGATTGTTGCAATGCCTCTGAAAAACAGCTACCTTAAGTCAGTTTTATGAATGAGTGAACTTGCTAACAGGCTTTTTAGAAATCAGTTGGATTGACTTTAACCAGTGCCCTCTTAATGGCATTCCTAGAACTTAAAGTAAATTGTGGAGAACATCATTCATAGAACAAGGTGTTAACCTCACTAGTGAGTTTAACTAGTTAGTTATCTAGTCAACTAACTAGTTAGCTAGTTAGTTATCCTGGACATTCTGATTTTGAAATTTTTTTTTTAAAATTTTGGCCCTACAGATTTATATTTCCAAAGTGAGTATTTGATATAATTTTTCTTAAAGTATGGAGATGCCTTCTCTGTCATGGTAGGAATGTATTGTGATGTCAGCAAGTTTATTTATGCTTGTGAATGAGCGTGATCATAGTAATTTTGGTATGCTAGATCAGCAAGATGAAGCTTGTTACGTAGCACATCTCTGCAGCTAAGGAGAAACGACTTTTAGGGATTTTTGAATCCTTGCATGAGAATCAGTTGAGTACAAAGGGATTAAAGAAAATTAGTTGTAAATAGGTGATAGGTGTTCACTGTGTCCATTTTCAATCTTTTTTCTTTCTGTTCTGGAACTTCTTTTTAACAAAAAGGAGATTTTGCTTTTCTATGTGTATAGCTTTAAAAACAATGGCTTCTACGTTGCTGTTTTTTTCTGCTGGAGTTATTCATACCTTTATTCTCTTCACAACTGATAAGTTTTACATTTTGTCCTTCTCAGTGGCTCTGCTTTTCCTAGAGCCCTTTTCCACTGAGAAGTATCCAGTGGCCTCTCCTTGCTCACTGTGCAAGGTAATGATTTAGTGATGCAGAAGGGGCACAGTCCCCTTCTCTGCTGTGCTCGCTTTCTAGGATTCGAAGAAAGCCTTGGCTGTAGGTTTTCCTGCTCCAGGTTGTGTCACTTTTTCCTCTCAAGTGTGTAATTATTGTGTTGTGTGTAGGTAAAGTTGAAGGCCACTGTTGAGGAGCCGAGCTGAAAACCAGTACAGAACAGTTCTCTGTGGGCTGACTTATGTAACTAGGGTTCCAGCTCACTTCTCACAGTGTTCTCTGTGCTGTAGCACAGCGCCACAGCGTGGGGGCCAGCGCTAGTACAGCCCTTGCTTATCGTGCATGAGGCTCAAGGCTCAATTTCTTGCTCCAACAAACCAATTTATGAAAATGAAACTTTTTGGTTTCATCTTTTTTTTCCAAGTAAGAACTGTAATAAGATTGAGCATCACGTTTATAATATTTGGGCTTTTGATGAGTGTGTACTGTCTCTGAGTAAATAATGGGCTTGTGATGTTAAACTGGCAGCACTGGCAGGCTGGTCAGCAGACGAGCCAGGACTCTGATCATCCCAGCACGTCCTCTGCCTCCTGCACCGTGCATTCTAAGGGTGCCTGCTTTGTAACTGCTGATCTGCTTTTTTTTCTCTGACATTTAAAAAGAATGAAGTTGTAAATTCAATGCTTTGAGTTTATTTGAAATAATATTATCTTCATGCTAAAATATCAGCATTGAGAATTAACAAAGCAAGATATTGTGAAACTTAGTTATTGCAAATTCCATTTTCAACAAAGATAGTTTAAAATAACTCATTAATGTTTTCTTGTTTTGACAAGAATTTAAATGTACTTAATTATGTATTTCTGGTTTTTGTGTATATGTTTTATTTTAAAATGGCCAATGTATTTATGAATAAAGTGTATGGCCACCTTCTACCATTGTAGCTTTAAATAAAAAAATCTTTTAAGAATGGCGGATGCTAATGTAAAAGCAACATGTAAGAATTAAATTTGCTGCTGCTGGTCTAATGGGAATCCCACGAGCTTTCTTTAGTATGCATTGGAAACGGGTGTGTCAAAATTCTGGAATTTGTCTTCAGCCAAGAATTTTGCCCACTTACATATGTTTACACCCTATAAAAAGTAAAACAAAGAATGTAACTCTTATGAGCAAGGTAGCTTTGCTCATGTTATCTGATATTTGCCAAATGAATAAATGATAAAGGAGTTGAATCAACATATCTATGTTCAAATTGTCATTTTTTAATAGTTTTGAAATTTAGAATAGAACTCATTCTGTTTTAGATCTTTATTCAGCCTTTATTTTTATTTACTGAGAATAATACAATCAGAGATTTTTGTATTTAGGGGGCTTTATAAATATCTGAGCATATTACTTTGCCTAAAGTAAAGAGTGACGGCCAGCTGAGCAACTATTAGAGGTGTGGGGCTTAGGACACACTGGTCAACGGAGGGTACTTTGGATCGTAGCTTCTAAGAGCATAGGAAGATTCATGAGTGTTTTTTAAAAAAAGGGATTCTCATTCATAAAAAATTAATAAGAAAATTCCTAAGAATGGGAATCAGCAAGAGGCACTTCTGTGCTAGCTGGTGTCTGTGCAAACTGAGACCTACACATAATTGTTAGTACATTGTCTTGATCTGATTGGCATGAACCAGTGAAGGGGCAGATCAGCTGACTGCTGGGAATGTAACTGATGGTTTCATTACTTTAACTTGAGTTTTTAACATTAGTTGAGCAATGAAAACAGGAGAATTCTGGGAAGAGGATGCAGTCCACAGTTGTGACCCGGCCATAGAAGAAGCAAGATGTGACTGCTTCGCCAAATAAGATACCAAGCCACATGGCTAACATAGATGAGTATAATGGGCTAATATAAGTTGTAAGAGTTACTAAGTCTGAGCTAATGGGTTAATCAGTTTATAACTAATGTAGAACTCTTTGGGACTTAATGACTGTGGGAACCAGGCAGGACAAAAACCACAGTCAACACATAATAAATAAATAAATCCTAAAAAAAATAAGGATAACCTCAGCTAAGACCCTAAACAACAGAGGAGAGGGGGCCTGATCTTGACTGTAGTCAGACTGATGAATATCTTATCACTATAGAACCTTCATCCAGCAACTGATGGAAACAGAGGCAGAGACCCTCATCAGAGCACTGGACTGAGCTGCCGAAGTCCAGCTGAAGAGTGGGAGGAATGAGAATATGAGCAAAGAGGTCAAGACCATGATGTATACACCCACTGAAACAGTTTACCTGAGCTAATAGGAGCTCACCAACTCCAGACTGGGAAGGAACAGGCATAGAACTAAACTAGTCACTCTGAATGTGGTTGACAGTTGCATGGCTGGGGCAGATTGTGGGCCACTGACAGTGGCACCAGGATTTATCCCTATTGCTTGTATTGACTTTTGGGATCCTATTCTCTTTGGATGGATACCTTGCTCAGCCTAGATATAGTAGGGAAGGCCTTACCCTCTCTAAGGATTGGATGGGGGTGGGGTGGGAGGGTGTGTGAGGGAATGGGAGGAGGTGAGGGAGTAGGAACTTGGATTGGTAATTTTTAAAAATCTAATAAACAACAACAAAAAGCCAAACTCACTCTTCTTGGAGAGGACCAAGTTTCCTTCCCAGCTCATAACTGCCTGTAACTCAGCTCAGGTAAACCTATTGCTTTCTTCCATGATCTTTATTTATGAACTACTGATTTTTCATGCATTTTCCTGACTTTCAGAAATCTGTCAGTTTGTCACAGGGGCCTTTGTTAAAGTTAGATCTAGCAAGGTACTTTCATATCATGTCATAGAGTTTCTGTAGGGGCAACAAACTTCCTCTCCATTAGTGGAATAAATGGTTGTTTTTGCTTTAAGGTCCTTGTCACCCCAAGATGTATAATTTAGCTCTGTCACAGCCCTTTGTACCCCGAATTCATTTATAATCATTAGTTAGCTATTTCCCGTGAGTCTCTGTGGACTCGGCTTGCATTCTGTCCTGTCTTACTGATGAGAACGGAGATAGAGCGGTTTGACTGGTGCAGTTCACATAATAAGTCATTAGTTCCGGTCTGGGTTGGCATCCAGCTTTAGCTTCTTGGTGTACTGTGCTGGGTTCACAGACTGCTCTCTTAAAAAGCTGATGAGTTTTTCATTTCCTTCCCAGATGGTTTGATTTCTGCTTGCTGGGAAAGCCTCTAATGCCAGCATTCCATGAGGCTCCACAGCAGGCAGCTCAGCAGCGCTCTCATTTGCGGCTGCCCACACACACAGGTGCATTTAGATGCAAGCCCAAACGCAAAAATCTGAAAAAGTGAGCTCCGTGCTTTCCCCCCTCCATTTCCTAGGTTTCTCATGTCTGTAAACCAGGACTCCCACACCTGTCCTACCTTGTCAGCTATGGAACTCTCCCCTCATACCCTCAGTGTTTTCTGATGTACCTGCCAAAGACCAGTTGCAGTCAGTCTTACCCGCATTCATGACTTCTCATCTAGGAAGCCTCCCCATGGAGGGCTGGGAGCAACAGTGGGAGATTGCACTTTGTGTTTTGAGCAATGCCTGACTAGTCTCTGAATGCTTTAAATATGTGGACCCTGGACCCTCATTTCTCTTTGTTCACCTAAACTTTTGTTGTTTTCAAGACAGGGTTTCTCTGTGTCCTGGAACTTCCATTGTGAACCAGGCTGGCTTCAAACTCACAGAGATTCCCCTGCCTCTGCACTTCTGAGTGCTGGGGTTAAAGGCGTGCTCCCTCCCCACCCACTGCCACCGTCGGCCTGTTCTCCTAAGCTTAATGAACATCTATTGAGTGTGTGCTCTGTCCATTATGTATTCTGTTAGAGATTGTCATCCAAATGTGGCTTAGTATTTAACGGCAAGGGGGAAAATAGGAAGAGAACAAAAATAGAAGGTATAAGCCGCTAGGTGAAGTTTCAAGTCTGCTCTATGGAAATATTCTGCTTAGAACTGAGGCTGCCTAAGCAAAATGAACAGTATGAGTAGGGGAGATGTGCCCTTGCTGCTGGCGTCCAAAGGGCTGTGAAAGGAATGGCCTGCTGTGCACACGGTGTCCGATTTAGTCGTCTTTTGTGTGCTAGTGAGGATGTTCTACAGCAGACCTGCCGGCTTCATTACAGAAAGGTAGGTAGAGTGTTTGCCTAGCCTGTGTGAAGCCTTGCATTCAGTCCTCAGCCAGAGAAAGAGTGGAAGAATACATGTGTGGTGACAGCGGCAAGTCTGAGAGAGCTTGCAGCGCAAATATAAAGCAGCCCAGGACAGAAGTTATGTGGCCTTCTGTCGTTAGCATCAGGAGGAGAAGCAGACAGGTAGGGCTTGATAGGGTGGGTTTATGCTGAATTACCTCTGCAAGGCTACGATGTAGCACAGAATCCTGTGTAGCTTTAGGCCAGTTCTGGCTACAACATATTACACAAAAAATTTAAAAGTCTTAAGTTACAGCTTGGGAAACAGCACAGTTGTTGTGGGGGTGTTATGGTTCATCTTTAGTGTTAGTTTGACCAGATGCAGAACTACCTTAGAGGTATGCTTCTGGCCTTGTCCTCTAAGTGGGTGGCATCTTCTGAGAGTGAAGACACAAGGAAAAGCTGTGCCTGTCTTTCTTTGCAACTCTGGCCTGCTTTTGTGCGCCTAGTGCTGCTGTCACTGCCACCAGCTGCTGCCATCAGATCCCAGCTGGTTTGACCTTCCTGTGTGAACTCTATACCAGCAACTCTCCAGGGAGCTTCCAGGCTTTCATTACCCGACTGGGACAGTTGAGGCATTCTCTTCTTAAACTGAGTGGCCCCCTGGCCTCTGCCTCTTCATCTTGAAGACGATCCTTGTCCCTAATGTGTAAGTCAATCCATTAAATCCTTGTTTGTAACACATTGAGCTGCTTGGTTTGGAGTCTCTAGAGAAGCCTGCCTGGTAAGGCACAACATCACTTGCAGTTTGGCTGGTAAGGCATGGCATGCACCTGCAGTTTGGCCGGCTTACCCATTGCAGTCTGTTCATGCTGAACTTGCATTTTCTGTAACTTCCCCCAGATCTCCTTCAGCTTCTCAGGACAGTTTCAGCACAGGATATGAAGTAATAGCCCTCAGTGGCTCCTAAATTACATGGCTTCAGGTTTACACATCAAATCCCATTTTCTGTACGATGCTTATTGTCTCTATATCGTCTCATTTTATGATTTAAATTCTTTTGCTGCTTTAACAAAAATGCCTGAGTGAGTTTTCGAAGTGGACCTTGAGTGTATGTTAGGAAGTCTAGAGTAGGCTATGAGTGGGGGACTCACGTCATTCCAGGAGGCTGTTGGTGAGGGTTAAAGAGGCAAGGAAGACCCCGAGCTCAGACAAATGTGACGTCTGCCATGCAGCAGAAGGTTTAGTAAGGCTGCTTGCATTGACAGTGAGAAATGAACCTCTGCCACCTCCTGGATGCTCTAGCTAAGGGGCGTTCTAAGTATTTTGTCAGAAATGCCTTCAGGATGAGAGCAAGAGATGAGAGAGATGAGCAGGAAGAAATGCTAAATACCCGGAAGCTTGGCTTTGAGAGGTTGAACAATAAAACATTTCACTCCTAGTGTGACGGCTGTGGTTGGTTGTCACATGGACTCCATCTGGGGTTAATTTAAGTCCAGGCTGCTGGGTACACCGTCAGGGATTTTCTTGATAGGATCATTTGAGGTAGGAAGCCCCCCCCTTAAATCTGTGCCCCACCTCCTGGTGGCAGCCTCTGTGAAGGATGTGGAAGAAAGAAGTGTTTGCTTTACCCCTGCTTGTCTGAGCCCTCTCTGTCAAGGGTGTTCCTTCACTTGCAGTAGAGTCTACTTCCGAAGGATTCCCACATACACTGAGGAGCAGCTAAGACGTCCAGCCTCTCACTGGACCGACCGACCGAACAACTGCTGGATTCTTGGGCTCCCTGTTTGGAGACAGCCCTTGTTGGAAGAGTCAGACCACAGCGTGTGAGCCACCCAAATAAGTCCCATGTGTCATTCCGTCTGTTCTGTGTCTGTAGAAAATGCTGATACGACTAGTCTCTCCAGATCATACAGGATGCTCCAAGTGAGAGCCGCGTTCCAGACAGGGCAAACACAGGAAACTAAAGGACGCGTAAGGATGAAGCTGGTGGCACCCAGGATGATTAACAATCCCAACAAAATGGAGAATCTTCAAGGTACAATTCCATGACATTTCACACGGAAACTCAACGT